GTATGATATTAATATTTAAGAACATGAAAAAAAAATACTTATATAATTACAATTCATACCATAAAATAAAAAAAGTTATCAAATAAGATATCTATTAATATATTTAATTATAATGTTCACCTACTATAATTATATTTAATACCATTTAATTCATAAATTAAATTTCAAATAAAATCAATGATCTTGCAATTAATTTCAATTAAAGTTTAATTATTTATATTTACTTATTATATACATTTCATTATTAAAAATTACCTTGCAATGAAATAAATAAAAATTTTCTTAACAACGTTTCTCAATACTCAAACACAAAAAATTTTCTCGTCATCCAAACACAAAATGAAACAAATTTTTCATAATCCATTTTATATTTTACAAGAATTCAAGTAAAATTTACTCATAAAAAAATATGGATTATTCACCTAAATCCTCACTTCTTGTCATGGTACCAAATTGCAAACTAAATGTTCTTTTCCCTTTTCATTTCAAATTCTAAACAACTTGTAAGATGGAGGAAAGGGGCTGATTTGAGGAAGAAGAGAAGGGAAGTTTCATGATCACAAACCCAGAAATGCATTAAGGTGAAGCAAGTTATTTGGGTTCATGAACACAAACCCAGATCTGGGTTTGTGTTCATGAACCCAGAGTTTGGTTCACTAACACAAACTCAAATCTGGGTTCACAAACATAAACCCAAAGAAAAATATGAGAGGAGAGGGTAGAAAGAATCTCAGTAAGGGAAGTAGATAAAAAAAAAAAAATTGAAAAAATAAAAGGAAAAAGGGAGAAAATGGTTGGAGGAGAGGGAGATAATGGAGAACAGTTACTATAATAATGGAGGAGAACAATTACTATAATAATGGAGGAGAACAGTTACTGTAATAATGGAGGAGATGCTAGAATAATGGAGGAGATGGAGAAGTTATTTGCTACAGGATAATTGGTAAGAGGGGAATTTATGTGATAATAAAGAGTATTTATGTGATATTATAAAGGTAATAAATATAATTATAGGATTATATACGGAGTTATATATTTGACTGTTGTTGCGAAAAATTAGAAATTATTATGAATTCCAGTAAAGAGTCGACTCTATGAATCTAAATTCGACTCTTATAGGCACTAGAGTCGACTCTATTATACAAAGAGTTGACTCCCAAATTGCAAAGAGCAGCGAAACATTGTGGTGCAGTACAGAGTTAACTCTATAATACAAAGAGTTGACTCCCAAATTCCAGAGAGCAGCGAAACATTTTGGTGCAGAATAGAGTCGACTCTTATGGCTGCAGAGAAATAAACTCTTCTTCATTCAAAGTCGACTATTATTTTCTAGAGTCGACTGTTTTGCTTGGAAGAGTCGACTCTCAAGTTATAGAGTCGACTCTTCAGCGCGGGATATGATTAAAACCGCTCCAGTTCCAGATTTCCCCATTTTCCCTCTCTCTCCTATTCGACTCTCTGAGAAACCTAACATTCAACCCAGCCAAAATCCTCCCAAATTTCACCAAAATAACTCATCCAAACACAAACCCACACCATTTTCGGTCCATTCCTCGAAGATTCGTGCATTATCTCCCAAAATGGTACAGACTAAAAGAGTTGTAAAGAAAGTAAGGGGGTAGGTGGCAAGTACGTCTGGAAGGCGTCGAAGGGCTGAGCAAAGTCCTGAAGACAGTGGTGAAAGCACAGACACGGAGCAGGTATTTCAACTTGATCACCCTCGAAACTTTGTATCTAGAAATGCTATAGAAGCCTATAATAAATTAGGAAATAAGAAAGTCGTTTATGGTTTTAGAGTGGTTTTAGATGATATATGCAAAGGGGGGCTGCATATTAGAGAAATGTTAGATGCAATGGGGTGGACTGAATTAGTAAGTAGAAAGGTGAAGGTTTACCTGCAGTTGATAAATATTTTTTATGCAAATGTGAGTGATTCGGAGGATGGAGGGTATAGAACAACAGTTCTTAAGAAAACTTTTGAATTTGATGCTGAAACCATAAATAATGTTTTACATTTGCCAAATGAGGGAGTCATCGAATTGAATGCATTTACAGAGGAATCGGGAAAGAAATTTATCATGGGGGATGAGTATAATGAGGGACAAACATTAACCATTCACCACTTGAATTTGGAGAATCTGTTAATGTTTTGGATTTACAATCACATAATTTTGCCAATGCAAGGTTCTTTTGGGAAATTTAGTGGTCCAGATTGTGTGTGGTTTGCATATATTCTTGATTAGAGGCGGATTAATTTAGGACACCATATAATGAGACAAATGATGTATTATAGGGGTAGATCGACACTCACACTAGTGTATGGCACTCTCATCACATTACTTATGGAAAATGCGGGTGTTGATTTGCGTGGTATGGAGTCCCGAGACCTACATTGTCACGAGCTTTTGAATGAGAGTTCACTGAACAAAATGGGCTATGTATTCAGTGCAAGAACAAATTCTTGAAAAATGAAGCAGAAAAGGAGAAGAGGAAGACAAGATGATGAAGGTGAAGGGTTTGATGATGAAGAACATGCCGAAAAAACTGAAGAAGTGGGTCCCTCACAAGCTACTTCATCTCGAGTTCCTCAGAGATTAACCACACAGAGAGGAATGCAGCTCATTCTTGAGAGACTTGCACAGATTGAATCAAAGCTCGATGATCACATTCGCGACTGTCAGATGGCAGCACCTATAGGTCCTCGAGGGACAAGAGGAGATCCGTCTATTGTTGGCACATCCTCCGGACAGCAACCCATTGATCCCTTTCCAAATTCGGAAGCATAAATCCTCCCGTTGTAGTTGTTGATGGCTGTTAAATTATCATTTTAATGTTTGAACACTTTTTTAAAGGTTTTCTTAATGTTTTGACTTTTTATATTTTTGAATATGTACCTATAATGTTGAAATTAGATGCAGTTTAATTTAATGCAGTTTTTAACATCAATGAGCATAGCATAATTGTGATGATTTGTATTGGTTGATTATGTTCCTGATGTGCTTCCATTGATGGCAAGCAAGTTGGTAGCCCCTAGTGTGCTTGAATGGCAATTTGTGGATGTGGTTTTAAAGTTTGCTGTGCATGTGGTTTTAATGATTCAATAGTATTTTTTACATAGTTGATGTTCATGAAAAAGAAGGAAACGCAAACAACAAATTTTGGGAAATTAAACAACAGAAATGACTGAAGAGTCGAATATAGGCCTATATTCGACTCTTCAGGCATATGAGAGTCGACTATCAAGCAGCAAGAGTCGACTCCCATTTTCCAGTAAGTAGCAAATGCATTTTGTTGTAGCCTATAGTCCATTCTCCATTATAGAGTCGACTCTTTTGGATTCAGAGTCGACTCTATAATATGAAGAGTCGACTATCAAATTCCAGTATGCTAGAAGTTAATTTGCTACAGTATATAGTCGACTCTTTATCATAGAGTCGACTCTTTTGGATAAAGAGCCGACTCTATCATATGAAGAGTCGACTACCAAATTCCAGTATGCTGGAATTTAATTTCCTGCAGCATATAGTCAACCTTCCATCATAGAGTCGACTTTAAAGCAAAAGAATCGACTTTACGATGTGGAGAGTCGAATACCTAATCCTAGTAAGTGCCATACTTTTTTTCATTCAAATAGTCGACTCTCTATATTGAGAGTCGATTCTTAGTTCTTTACAGTCGACTCTACTATGTAAGATTGGACTCTTGAACTATGTGGTTCACAAAGTAAAAGAATTTCATGGAAATTCTTAATAATTAACGTGAGAAACACTTAGAAATCATTAATAAATGTTGTAATGTCAAAATATATAAGATAATCACAAGAAAACAAGAGAAATTGGAAAAAAAAATTGAAAAAAAATTGAACATAAGTAAAATAATTATATTATGGTTCTTGGATGGATCGTAATTTTTGAATAGCAGCATCCCAACACTTTTTTTCAAATGTAAAATGCCTACTATTACCAAAAATTTTTGTAACAGTTTTGGAGGACTCAGCAGGGGTTTTGGGTGGATTTGACAAAGATGGTGATCGATAATGATTTGAGCAAATTTTTGCAATATGACCCTCACGGTTATACAGTTGACAAGTTACAGCATATCGGTGTGGGCAAATTGTAGCTAAATGTCTAGGAGTATCACATATTTGACAAACAAAGTAGTTTACAGTATTAGGCAATGGAATATGTTGGTCAGTTGATACATTATTCTTTGCTTTTTTTAACTTCCTCTTGGAAGGACTTTCAAATGGGCAATTCCATATTGATTCAGGAGTATCCTCAACGATTCCTGTGTAAAATAATATAAAGTTAAGTAATATGATAATAAAAGGGGTGTACAAATGGGAAATAAGAAATAAGGGAAGGAAAAAAAATTATACCATTATATTGGCTGTCAAAATAATCTTGACTTTCCAATTGATTATCAAAATATTTTTGACTCTCCATTAAGCAACAGAAAAAGAGTTTTGAAATTTATAAAAATTATTACTTTTAAATTATAATATAAAAATAATTATGTGAGGATAATAAAACTAATTTGCAAGAGGAAGGGAGAAATAACAAGAAATTGAGAAGTGTGAGAGGTGTGTATATATAATGGGTGAGCTACCGGTCAAAGGATTTTCAGCAACATGGTTATTGTTGCTGAAATTCACTTTCAGCAACAAGAACCATGTTGTTGAAAGTGGTATGGACGGTATCGAGATTAGAAAATGTTAGCAACGAGGGGCATGTTGCTAAAATTCACTTTCAGCAACATACCCCTTGTTGCTGAAAGTGCAAGTGGTGGTACTCCCCCTTCTTGTCAACGGCTTATATATATATATATATAGATTTGGCCAACCACCGGTCAAAGAATATCTGCAACATGTTCCTTGTTGTTGATGATTAGTTGGTAAAAAGATGAGAATAACAGCAACAACAAATATGTTGCTAATTCTTAAGGTTTTCAGCAACATAGCTCTTGTTGCTGAAATTCACTTTCAGCAACAAAAACCATGTTGTTGAAAAGTATAGCTCAATTTAAATGCTAAAGACTCACTGGAAAGTATCAGTAACATGGAGTATGTTACTTTCAGCAACAAGAAGTACATTGCTGAAAGTGGGGATGCTTTTGCAAGATGAGATGTACGGAATAACTTTCAGCAACAAGCTCTAAGTTGCTAATACATATTTTCAGCAACAAATCAAATCATGTTGCTGATATATTGTTGTTGAAAGCCAAAATTTAGTAGTGTAAGGAGATAAATGTTTGTGATTTTGTATAATTATAATGTGTAAGATTTATGTATAAGTGAATCCTCGCTCATATATTTATATTCATAAATTACATAGATTGAGGAGAAATTTACTTACATATAAGTTTTACTGATTATATTTATATAAAATATTGATAATTTATCTTTGAACTTTTAATGGTTGAAATTTATCATAATTTTTTTAGATAAAAAAATAATTATTTTTAATAAATGTGAATAAATCTCTATTATTGAAAGTGAAGAGATGAATGGTTGGGATTTTATGTAAATATAATGTGGAAGACTTGTTTGTGAGTAAATTCTATTTATATATATTTATTTAAAATAAAAGATGATACATATTAATTTCGACCCTTGTTAAAAATTTTAAATATCAATTTAAGAAATATTACCCCTAAAGAAATATTTTCAAAAATCAATTGTTGACTTTAATGTTACATTGATATATATCATACTTGTCGATTTTAAGCTGATCTAATATTTATAATCATTTGATTATAAAGCTGTAATTTGTAATATATATTTAATAGTGTTAAATTTTGCATAATTAACAAACTAGTTGGATATATTTAATCAATATAAAAATTGAAATACATGGTCAACATGAACAGAATATCAAATTCAACAATTGATTTTTGAAAATATTTATTACAGGGTAATGTTTTTTAAGTTGGGATTCTACTTATTTAATAGGAGTCTATACTAATATATAGTTTTACATTGCATTATACATATAGGTAAATAAGAAGGCTAAAGCCCAACCATACCACAATCATTCATTTCAAGCCCTTGTCGAACTGAAGGGGACTCCTATGATAGGCACCAACTAAAGTCTGCCACTAGACTAACAAATTTTCAAGGCAAGGTTCATAGGTTTGAAAATGATTAAACTCAAATTATAAGTGGTGATTGGTTTCCACACTTATATACCATTCACAATCATATTGTTCTTTTGACATGTGATTGCAACATTATGTGTTGAGTTCTTAACAAAAAATACTAACTAAAATTTTGAGATCAACGAGGGACCCTTAAATAGAATATATATATATGTATCAAACTATCATTCTGCTTTTCAAGGTCAAACGTGTGTGTGTGTGTGTATATATAGATATATACTTTTTAACATTACTAAAGCCTTTCTTTTAAGTGCTCAATAAAAATCATAATTGAAATTTTGGAATAAATGAGGATCCTAAGATAGAAAAAAAAAAATCTAACTACTAACACTACCAGAAACAGAGTATAATCGACATATAAGGTTATTGATTATAAAATATTTTCTATCGGTTATAGTTATAATCGACTGACATAATAGACAACCATGTTTGCCGAATAAATTGGAGTAAGAAATCAATATAATCGACAGAAATTTAGGATGTTGGTTATATACCCATAATCGACAAAAACCTTGTTGATGATGACTTGTATGGAGGTAATTGGGTAAAATACAAGCAGTATAATTGATAGCCTAATGCTGTTGATGATGCCTCGATTATACAGATAATCGACAGCAATATGAACTGTCGATTATGTTTTGAATTTTGGAATAACATAATCAACAGCCTTTGATTATAGGCATCATCGATAGATAATGTCTATCGATGATGTGTTTTTTTTTTTTTGGAAAAACATAATCGACAGCTAGTGGTTATCAATCATACCACTGTAGCTCGAAAAAAAAAAA